GCCGTAAGGCCGGAAACCTCGAGCTTCATGCTTGTGTACAAGTGGCAGGCCGGCGCCAGGCCGAACGGCAGGTGTGGCCAAAAGAGCGTCTGCCCCCGCCACCGCATTCGTGGCGACTTCCCCTTCCCCTTCCACTCCCCCTTCCCGCCCCTTCACCTCCCCACCTGTACTCATTCGGGAGGTCACGGCCAAGCACGGAGAAACGAGCCCTCGACGCCGGCGGAGGCGGAGGCTGTACGGCGCGGTGGAGGCTGCATGCCGACGGTAGGGGTTGTACGAGCGTCGGCGACGACGACGCGGGCTGTACGGCCGGTATATGCTGCACATTCGCCAGCGCCGGTTTGGACGGTTTGAACGTACCGTCATTTTTACGACGACGCTTGCTCGAGGGGCGGCGATGTGTGACATCCGTAGCGACAGCAGACGCCGTACACCTGCCTGAGCTGGCGGGAGCCCAGTCATTGTCGTACATGGAACCCGCAGTCGCCGATGATGGTCCCCGCTTGGCGGCGGCCCGGCCGCTGCCGGCGCTTCCCCCCGGCCGCCGTGGTGGCGGCGGTGCACAGCCTGGTAGCGCAACCCATTGACCGTCGTACGCCGGGATTGCCGCCGCCGGCTGTACAGCACCATCCGCTGCCGCGGCGTACGGCAGCAGTGGTAGCGGCGGCTGCCACTGCCGCGCCTCCTCTGGTACTTGGGGAACCGTGGGGAATGAAACTCCCTCCTGCAGCTGCCGTGGTGATAGCGGCGGCGGCAGCGGCGGCGGCGGCGGCGACGCGGGCTGGCCTGGCGGCAGCATTTGCTGCAGCACTACCGGTGAAATACCTTCCGCTAGGAGGATCGCCGCGATCTCCGATAAGGGCCCTATGACCTCCTCCTGCTGACCGTTGACCGCCTCCACCTCCTCACCCCCCTCGTCCCCCTTGGCCTCACGCACCATCAAGAGCAAGCGCGCGTCCGCTGCCGCCATTTCAGCTACAGCCCACGGCAGCTGTTCCGTCGAGCAGCAGCTTCCGCCAACCCGCGGCGTCAGAATCATGGAGTCTGGGGAGGCCGGGCTTACCTCCGTTGCCGCCGCCAGGAAGTGCCGTACATGTGCCGTACAGGGATCCTCATAATGGATATCCAATCCGGGGTCCCGTAGCAGCGGCAGCGGGGATTCATCCGTCGACGCCAGCGGACCCTGGAGGGCGTTTCCGGGTTCCGACGGCAGCGGCTGCCGTACTGCTGGCGGCAAGGCCGACATTGCCGTTCCTG